ACAATTAAAAAGTAATTAAATTCTTAAAGTATAATTAAAGATATGTCTAAACAAGACAATAAAAATTAATAAAAATTATTTCTGAATTAATGATTATTTAATAACAAGAACTCTAAGATATCCTTCAAAATGAGGAAGACGCTTTTTATTTAATCTAGAATAAGACAAAGGCACCAATGCCCCTTAAATTCATAGATTTCGATGTGAAGATAGAGCAGAAACTAGCTGCCATAGAAATGACTTAATACTATATTAATGTCGAGGATTCTCCTATTGAAACTATCTTTCTGTTCCCTTGTGACATCGAGTCAGTTCTGACAAATATATAAATTCAATTCAAACTCAAAGATGGCACATTCAGAGAAATGCAAACAATCATTGATAAAAAAGATAGGATAGACATAAAATATGAAGAAAAGTTAGCTCAAGGTTAGACTGTTATTGCAGGTTCTTTCACAAAACTGCAAAAAGATTTAGTTAGAATCAATATTGGTAACTTTCCGCCAGAATCTGAAGCCATTTTGAAACTAAAGTTTTACACTACACTTTCGATTGAAGATCGTAGTTACTGCTTCAAAATTCCTTATAGTTATGTTCCAAGATATATCGGAGATGTTTAACGCTTCATTAACACTGGAGTACATTTGAAAGGTATCCAAGGAACTCCCCAATCAGAAGAAGAAAAGTTCTAGAATGAATAAGCTGTTAATGAAATTTATGATCACCCAGTTGCAAATTCCACTCAAGCTTAATGGAATATCTAGATAGAGGTAAAGATGCAGGGATAAATCCAGAGAATTTCATCAAGAAATCATGGCTTTGAGTATAATTTCTCTGAAGACAAAAGAACTGCATAGATAAAGTTAATGGATTATGAAAAGAAAACAGCATCTGATTATGACCTGATTTTATACATTAGAGATGATTAAATTAACGAAACAGTAGCAATTTCAAGCTTGAATCAATATGGTGAGTAATGTGTTATGATAGGAGTATTACCTGATTTAAGAAAGCCAGATATTCGATAGAAATTTATCGATAAACTCAAAATTAAGGGTGATCAGATTGACACTGATCAAGATGCATATTATTCAAATGAAAGTGAAATTGAGGATGAGGAGGAATAGAAAGTAGATTAAGATAAAGAAGAATTAGAAGTAGAGGTTGAGCCCAAACTGTTAGATTATGTATTCTTTATAGATAGAAGTGGATCTATGCAAGGATTGAGAATAGATCTTGCTGTTTAAGCTCTTAAGTTATTTCTGCATAGTTTACCAATAGGCTGCTTATTCAATGTTGTTAGTTTTGGATCCAACTATGAAATGTTGTTTGAAAAGAGTAAACATTATGATGAATAAACATTCGAAGAAGCAATATCAGTTGTCTCTAATTTTAAAGCTGATATGGGAGGGACTGAAATAGCATAGCCTTTATAAGAAATATTTTCCTAGATACCAGATGAAATCCTACCAAGGCAAATATTCTTACTTACTGATGGGGAAGTTGCGAACACCCAAGAAGTAATTCATCTAATAAAGCATTATAGATCAAACTCGACAGTTCATACCTTTGGTATTGGAGATGGTGTGAGCACTGAGTTGATTAAAAAATGTGCCATCGTTGGAGGAGGCCATTATAGCTTCATTGATAACCCTCATGAAATTGAGTAGAAGGTAATAGCTGCCCTGTAAAAGAATTTCTTTGATTATCTTATCGTTCAAGATGCTTATCTGATTGATGATTTGGGAGATAGAATTTAATGCAACCTTGATTCATTATCTAACCTTTGCCATAATTAAACACACGAACAACTGGTACTACTCAAGCAATAATAAAAAGCTAAGCAATATTCAGCAATATTTCTTGATCCAAATACCAATTAGAAATCTCAAGTGCTTGTAGATATTTAAGAGGTTTAAAACGAAGCTCTAAATATGATAGTTTAAAAGGCTCAAATAGATAGATGCTTAGTGCATGAAGAAAAGTTAAATGAAGCTATAAAATATTAAATCCTTATTCCAGGTACAGCAATGATAGCTCATGAAAAAATAATGGATGAAGAAACAAAGGAACTATAGTTAAGGAGAATTCCTCTTATCAGGAGCAATGGAAGCATGTAAATATTTGTAAAGACATTGACAGGATAGACGATTGTTCTCACTTGCTGTCCTGATGACACTATTGAAGATATTAAGATCATGATATATGAAAAGACTGGAACCTCACTAAACAAATAGAGACTCATATTTGCTGGAAAGTAATTGGATGATAGCAGTACGCTCAAAGACTATAATATCAAAAAAGAATCAACTCTCTCCCTAGTTCTTTTTTTAAGAGGATGTGGATATGAATTAGAATGCATTGACATTGATACTAAGACAAAAATTACGATACCTTCTTAAATTAACATATTGTAAGTTAGATGGGAAATAGGGGAGAAATTAGGGATTCATATGGACTACATTTAAGTAATATAGGCTGGAAAAATATTATCTAATGATTTGTCATGCTAATAAGCTGGTATAGATCAAAATAATAACCAGATAGATTATATCTACTTCAACTACAAAAGCATTGTATTTTGCTAGAATGCAAATGGTTAATGGACCTAGAAGCTCTATACAATGTTAGAAGAGGAAAATCTTACTAAACTAAGAGAGGCATAGGATGATGAGAAATTGAAAAATATTGATGAAGTTGTATTATTGACACTAGTTGGAATAAAGATTCTAAAAAGATATTTCATTGAAAACAAAAATGAATGGTCTCTAGTAGTATCCAAAGGAAAAAGATATTTGAAAAATGCACTTGGCTTAAGTCTTGGAGAGATAAATTAGATGGTTGACATAACTGAACTTTCCTTAAGATATTGATCATTATGTTTGACTGCTCTTGATATTATTTTAAGTCATAATTTAATGAGATTTAAATCTATAATAATTGATTAGCAATGTTTTGATTTTATACTAAGATGATGGGGTTTTGGGGTTTTGGGG